TTGAGTGCTACAGCACTACAGCACCATAAGAACACAAAGAATGCTTGGTCTGTCTGTTGTGGTTGCAACTCGTTTTGAAGGTTGACACTGATCCTCAGATACCATGAAGGTGTTATATTCAGACGAAAATGAAGGATTAGGCTCCAGTCACACAGAAAAGCATTTTAGCAGCTGAAGGCGACTTTTGGTAATTGTTTTTTATGAGAATGAAGCTTTCTGCTCGCATTTTTTGTGTTGCGACGTGTCTCGTGTTTCTGCACTCTAGGCACCTCTAGGCCTGAGCACTCTAACCTCCTAGAGTTGAAAAAACTTTAACTCAGAGCGGAAAAATGCCCCACGCCATTTTTTTCCTCATCTTTTTTCCCATTGTCCAATTGGATGATTTGAGAGGCAGGCCTTTTGTGGTAGTAACAACAAAAAGTTTACAGTTGGTAAACAATGGAGGAGAAACTGGTAGAGGTTGCTGGATACCTAGAGCTATACAGCGATAGACAGCAGGTTGTCAAACTGTCCCTGCGTCATCCTAAAATATGCCTGGAAATGGCCATCATTGAGGAGAAGCTCCTGGACCAACTGGTGGTACTCCCCATGATCTATCCTCTTTTTCGGGGTCTCATGTACCCACACAGATCTCCGTTTCCCTGTGTCCAACAAACTATTTAGTGACAGCCTCTCACCCTCAACCAGAGCTACAGCAAGTACCCTCTGCCTGTCCCTCTGTTTTGTACCTCAGGATTTAAATTTAGGTGCATTTTTGTTCTCATTACAGGTTACCATTTGGCTGCCTCATCCTTCGGAATGACACTGAGCTCCGTTGCTATGCCGATGATTGTCCACTGTATCTCTTAAATGCACATCATGCTCTATCTGTGTAATTTAAGACCGACAGATACTGGCAGTGATTTAAAACCAGAGATTAAATTGGATTGAAGCTTGTCAGAGATGAGCTGAGCTCCACTTATCTACATCCAAATTACTTCCTGCTGCAGCTCAGCTCCAGCCTCTGGATGTAATGACAGAATGACTCAAACAGAGAAGGTCTCTTCAAAAGATAAAATGAAAGTGGTACTCTCCACAGGACTGTGGTGTCATGTAAATCCACTGTAGTATTTAATATACATTTCCTGCAATGATTTAATTGAATAGTCAGTTTACAGTAACGTCTGCCTACTTTTTGTGATTTTATCTTCTAAAAAAGAAAAAAAGAAAGTCTCTGTTAGCAATATGTTTTAAAATCAATTCTCTTTTTATAGTAAAAATGTAAAAATTTTAAATCGCAGGTTAAAGTTTAATTCCAGGCTTTTGCAGAGCATTGCATAATTATTACCACGATTCTCACAGGAAACAGCTTTCCCCTGCCACATCAGTGCCAGTGTGTTGCTCCCTCGTGGTGCATTTCAGTTTTTCACTACATGCTTCTCCTACCAAGAATAATAATGTGCATTTGGAGGTTCTTAACATGCATTGTGCATGACTGGCATTAAGCTTTGATAAAGCACTTAAAATCAGCAGGAAATGCTCAATAAATTGTTCAACAAGACACAATTTGTAATCTTCTTGAAGGGCCAATTAAAAGCAAAGTATGCTTGTAAGAGAATGCCTTTTCAAGTTCTTTATCCCTTTTTGCTACCACTCTACTCAGTGCCACAGAGCTCTATTGTTATACTTTATGTATCTGGTTTAATTAGAGAGAGAAAAAACCTGAATGTATGAGCAGAGAACTATAACTAATGCAGATACATCCATACAGGTGTACTCAATGATACAATTAAGTAGTTAACCTTCTCTCATGCTCTGTGACATGTATAAAAATGCTAAGAAGGCCCAACTGACCATAAAAAAAGCTTTTAAAGACTTTGAAAGAGGGTTCATTACAGGGACGTGGGTTGCAGAAGCTTCAGTCACAAAGTGTAGTGTTCCAGTAGGAACAATATGGAAAAGATATCCGTAAATAGGTTTGGACACTTTGGCCAAAAACACACATTCAGTGACCCTAATGCTTCCTGATGCTTGTGCATCAGTGTGGCGTGTAATGAAAAACAGAGGATAACTCCTCCCTATGTGACTAAGAATGTCAGTGGGGGATAAATGCTGATCAGTTTGTGTCAGCAACAACACTGCTGACAACAACACAGAGAGGTCTTTTACAGTAGGGTTGCAGTTCATAAATCCCCCATTACAAAGCAAGTCCTCCTAATGACATGACAAAAGGTGTTGTTGGTCCATGTACTCCAGGAGGACTTACAGAGGCAGTTTCTGATCTGTCTGTCTTATCAGAAGGACGACATTATTTGCCTGTTTCCTCCAAAAATCACCAGAGTAAGACAAATCTGTTTCATGAAGTGACAACTCAGTGGTGTAAAGACTGGCTAGGTTCAGGCACAAAAACGTCTTTGTCAAAGTTAGGGAAACATCCTAGATTGGGTTGAATGACTACTTGATAATGGCCTTGCATTCATATAGCGCTTCTCTAGTCCTTCGACCTCACTTTACACTACACGTCACAATCACCCATTCACACACGCTTTCACGCACTGGTGGCCGAGACTCCCATACAAGGTGCCACCTGCTACTCAGTTAACCATTCACATGCACTTGCACACCAGTGGCACAGCCATCAGGTCAGTATCTTGCCGGGGGCAGCATGGTGACTGGAGGAGCTGGGGATCAAACCGCTATTCTTCCATTTAGAGGACGACTGGCTTTAACACCTGAACCACAGCTGCCCCAGTGTTATGTTTAGAGAAACATCATAGTTTGGGTTACAAGACTTCCTTGTCAAGATCTGGGGACAGTTGTTGTCATGGTTACATCAGTAAACACATGGTAGAGATTAGGGAACAATTGTGGTCAGGCTTAAAAAACCTAAACGTCGACTGTCAGTGGGAAACAGAAAGCAAACAGCAGTCCTGGTTGGTGTTTTGTTGATCCATCCATCCATCTCAACCTCCTGCCTACATGGACTCTGTGAACAGAATGGGCCTCATTAAGCTTTGTGGTAATTAGGTTAATTAGGTATGGATAGATTATCCTGATATAAAGGCTATTATCAAATCTAAATAGACTTTATTACATTTGTAGACGTATATTCTTTTTGCAAATGAATCACATTCATTTTGCAAGTTGCACATCAGTGACAAGGGATGTCTCATGCTTTTGTCTTTATTCTTTCCTCAGTGAAATGAGTGATGACAAACACAGGGGACACTATATCCCCTCCAGTCCTAACGTCCAAGTACGAGGGCTCCCCGTCCTAACAGATTCAGATCTCTGTTTAGATCTGACAGCTTGCTAGTAAACGACGTGAGTCCAAGTTCACGTCCTGTCGGCTGCTCACATTAGTAAACATTGCAACAAGAAAATAAACTCTCCGTAAAATATTCTATACTCTAACAAAACTGAAGTATGGTTTTGTTGCTAGCACCTTGTTATTGCCCATGAATCAATTTCAAGTCAAACCAAGCGCTCTGTTTCGGTCCTTTATCCAGATAATAGACTTTTGGCATCGTATTTTATCCAAGCTCTCCCAAATCATCATGTTTACTTCAGCTGGGTAATATTTCCAACAAAATTCACGACAGAGAATCAAGCATGCTTTCTGAGCTGTTTGTCTCAAGTCCTGTGACACCTTATTTATCCCTCTCGACTGAGGAGATGTGATACGTCTCCAGATAGCGCAAATAGCTGTAGCTTATTTTTACGCCCTTACATTCATGGTGTGGCAGTTTTAGAGTTATTCCTTGGATTTTATTGATAACTTCTTCGGCTTGTACGGGCCCAACCTCTAGCTACAACTCTAACCTTTTAATCCGATATGAGTCTGAGCACAGCCTCGGATACTCGTGCAGTGTCTTTTTTTGGCAGTCTCGGTTAAAAAGAATGAGTGAAAGGCCCTATGGCTTTGAAAAGCTTAGACTATAAGTCAATGTCATCCTTTCAAATCACCTCTCAAACCCTATCTATACAAATAAATCCTTTCCGCAAACTGACCTGCTTGTTTTTTTTTTTCGAATTAAAAAAAGATACAAAGACAACCTGCTTTTAAAAAAGGGGGGGAAAGGAGAGGTAGGGAGGACTCAGGAGACGTGAGCAGAGGGCACCACAGAGGAATAAGCAAACAAGCACACGAGCAGACACAGAGTCAGACAGGCAGACAAAGAGATGGATGGGTGGATGGAAGATTGTTGAGGAGAGGAATAGAAAGTTCTGAATGCTGCTGCGGCAGGCTGTGCTGACGTGAGGAGTGTTCCCAAACACAGTTAGTAGCGACTGCAGACCCACTGCATTACCATACTCACACACACACACACACTCACACACGCACACACACAGTGCCTAAGGGAGAAGGCTCCTCGCAGGCAGAGCTGAATAGAGACAGAATCTCCTGTTATGGTCCTCAAGAGGTCACTGTGCACTCGGGCACCATTTGTGTTAAAGTGTGTGTGTGTGTGTGTGTGCAAATGTGTCTGGGCATGTGTTTGCTACAGGTTAGTGTGAGCATGCATCCTTTCTTTCCCAGGTGTTTCATTTGTGCATGTGTGTTTGTGTGTTGACTTCCCACAGGTGTGTGTGTGTAAATGTGTTGAGCCATGTGTGTTTATGCACCAGTGTGCCTACTGTAATGGTGTGCACTTCAATGTGTGTGTGTGTGTGTGTGTGTGTGTGCATGTGTGTTTGAGTGATGACTTTCCACAGGTGTGTGTGTAAATGTGTGGAGCCATGTGTGTTTATGCACCAGTGTGCCTACTGTAATGGTGTGCACTTCAATGTGTGTGTGTGCGTGTGTGTGTGTGTGTGTGTGTGTGTGTGTGTTTGCCTGCACAGGTCGGTCCTCTCCTCTTCTCCATTCTCTCCAGTCTGCGCTTCCTCACGGAGCTAGGTGCGTATCATTGGATCAGTAGCTGCTGCCTGCCACACTGTCCAATCGCATCTAGGGAGAGAAAGAGACACAGGGAGAGGAAGAGCGAGGCAGAGTGAGAGAGAGAGAGAGAGAGAGAGAGAGAGAGAGAGAGAGAGATGGGGGAGGGAGGAGAAAGAAAGGAAGAGAGGGAGATTGATCATTTGAACGTCCTGGGCCTTGCGATCCTTTGAGAAACACAATTTCTACTACATCCAAAAACGTCGCTTTTTGAAATACGCACATTTTTGCGGACTTAAAGCTTGAGGCTTGTTGTTCTTTTCTTGTTTCTTTTTTTTTTGGGTTATTCCCACCCAGGAGACGTGCCATCGCCACCACCAGCAGCAGCAGTAGCAGCAGCAGCAGCAGCAGCAGAGGAATATCTCCCAATATCCCATCCCGGGCACGTCGGATAAGCTGCAGCAGCGAAAACACGAGGCGAATATTGCGGTGGACGGGAACGGGAACATGCTCCGTGGGATTTCGCACCTCTCACCCTGGCAGGGTAGGTTACATCCCACATTTTGTCATTTGATTTTTTTTTTTTTGTACTGCAGCGAGGATGCAGGTTGAGGCTTTGCATTTGAGTGTGTGTGCGCGCGTGTGTGTTTTGCCGTAGTCAGCTCCAGTGCCGATAGAGATTTAGACAGGATATTCTACCTCACAGGCAAGCGGGGTTTTTTTCTCCCCCCCTACACACACACACACACACACACACACACACACTTGCTTGTATTTGTTATTTTCTTCTTTTCTGCTTTATTTATGATGGGAATAAAAACGCAGCGCAGCTTTTCTCTGTTCTTTCTCTGTGTGAAAACATACAAGGGAAGGCTGGCAGGCGGGTTTGCCTTGATAAATGGAGCGTTATTCATCAGCGTGTGTGTGATCACCACTGGAATGTTAACTAGCACCTTGGACAGCCGACACCAATACAGTCTAACATGGGAGGAGCGATAGTACTGATCATTTTGACACTCTAATATCTTTGCTGCTTATTGTGTGTGTGTGTGTGTGTGTGTGTGTGTGTGTGTGATTACACGGAAATTGATGTTGCTCTCTCAGTGCGTCTGTGTGTGTATGTGTTAATATTCTGCCCTAAGGCCCTCAGTGAGAGATAGCAGTGTCGGCTGGGGAGCAGCTGTGTGTGTATGTGTGTGTGAGAGTGTGTGTGAGCATGTAGAGAGATCAAGAAAGTGTGTGTGTGTGCATCTTTGCAAGAGAGGAAAAACCTGTGTTAGTGTGTTATTGAGAGACATAAAGAAGAGGTGTGTGCAAGCATCTGTTGGAGAGAGATAGAGAACAAAGTGTGTGTGTGTGTGTGTCACAGGCTTCCTACCTTATGCTACATGCAGGTCAGGAGCCCCGTGGTGTATTCAGGGTTTAATTAAGCGTGTGACGTGACTCTCCATCCCCTCCTCCAACCTCACCCCCCCTCAACCGGGTCCTGTGATCTGTGAAACATTGTGTAGTGAGGATGTGACATATGTCTGCGGCTCATACCAGATACACACACACACACACACACACACACACACACACATGCCATTCCTGTGTGACACAGCAGCCCTGACAGTCTGACACCGAGTTAAGCTGAGCGGACAACATCTTGTTTGCCCTATCTATCGCTCTCATATCTATTTTTAACGTGAACAGCAGCGAGGTAGCACAGCCTATTTTTCTGATGTGATGTGTAAGTTTGCTGCGGTGTGTGTGTGTGTGTGTGTGCGTGACATTTTATCTATTTGACACTGTGATTATTCTAATGAAGACTAATTAAATCCCTCTCTCCCCCACTTTCCATTTCTCTGCCTCTCTGTCTCTTTTCCAGGAGGCAGTTTGGGCTTGTTATGGGGGTGACCGGAAGGAGAGAGTGACAGAGGAACAGTGATGCTACTGTTTACATAACGAGAGACTCACACACACCCACACACACACACACAGACACACATACACGCACACATGCTCAAATCGCCAGTCCAGGACGTACACACTCGCTTAAACACTTCCACACATACACACGCATACAGACACATATTCAAGGGACTCGCTGACTGAGTCACCACACACTCAGAGGCACAGAATCACTGACTCACACACAGGACCAAACACACGCACAGACAGACACACACACACACACACACACACATACACACACAAAAGCAAAAGGTTGTTTGCAAGAGTCAGGACTGTGTGTTGTATGTGCTATGGGCCAAGCTGAGCAGCAGCTGTGTGTGAGTGTTGGATACCTCTGAAGGGTCAACACAGCCGCAACCCTCGCCCTCCCCAACCCTTCCTCCTCCCTTCCCATCCCTCATCTCCCAGGTACCCCTAAACGCACCATCATGTCCGAGCTGAGGACCAGGAGAACTCCCCTGTCCCCTCTCCCAACCTTCTCCTCCCCGTTCGGGTTTCTATCCCTCCTTCTTTCCCTCTGCCTCTCCCTTTCTCTCTACCCGCCCTCCTTATCAGCACAGCAGACTGTGCCTGTCATCTCCACGGCGCAGGGCCGCATCCGGGGTATCCTGACCCCGCTGCCCTCTGACCTCCTGGGACCAGTCATCCAGTACCTGGGAGTACCGTACGCCAGGCCTCCAACGGGGGACCGGCGCTTCCAGCCACCTGAGCCTCCTCTGCCCTGGCCGGGAATACGAAATGTGACGCAGTTTGCTCCAGTGTGTCCACAGTCTCTGGATGAGAGGAGCATGTTGGGAGACATGATGCCGTCCTGGCTCACGGCTAACCTGGATATAGCGGCAACGTACCTTACTCACCAAAGTGAGGATTGTCTCTACCTCAATATCTACGTGCCCACCGAGGAAGGTTAGTGTGCAACAGACCCTCTCAGGGGACAAAGGTGAATATATATGCATGTGGGGTGAGAACAGGATGATGTGTTATAGGTCATTCACACGTAAGGTCAAAACAGAGTGGAACTGGCTAACCTTGGGGTGGTTAATTTGAAGGCGCCTCAGCTGTGACATATAATTTAAACATGGAACAATCCTGTCAGGGCACAGACATACCCTTGATAAATAAATAAATAAAGTTACGTGGAGTCCCAACTAGTCCTCTCCACCCCCCTCGTGCACGCCTCTGGTTGAACCAACACTTAATATGCAGACACCTGCGTCAGTCGCCAAGGGGTTTACGCCTTTACTTGTGGAGGAAAGTGGGAAGGACACAGACTCACTCATGCATACATATTGGTTCATACACATGCATGTGACCCCACATGCACACAAACACCTACACACACGCGCGTGCACACACAATGGCAAGCATGAACACTCCCACAGCCTCAATTTATTTCCACCCACTGAGAAATGAAGGAAGGGAGATATGAAGCATAGGGAAGCAAAGGAGCCGCAGACTGTTCCTGCTTTTGTATGTATAAACCCACCGAGTGATTAAAGGCTGAGATACATACAAATGGACAGGTGGACAGTCGGTCAATATGGACATTAACAACAGACAGAATGGAGGCAGAAGGAAGGTGGGTGGATCTGTGCTCACACTTGTGCACAAAAAGTGATTATGTACAGCACTGGCATCAATGATGTCACCTTGAGCACATCGTTAGGCCATATGTTGCTGCAAGTATCTATCTATCTATCTATCTATCTATCTATCTATCTATCTATCTATCTATTATCTGTTTTCCTCTCTCTCTCTCCAAGACATTCATGAGGAGGGGGGTCAGCGGCCAGTGATGGTCTACGTCCACGGGGGCTCATACACAGAAGGCACTGGCAACATGATGGATGGCAGCGTACTGGCAAGCTACGGCAACGTCATTGTCATAACCCTCAACTATCGCCTAGGAGTACTGGGTAAAACCATATATCTTATATATCTGTGTAATTTGCTGAACACTCCGGCACTGTATGGTAATACGACTGTATATGCTTTTAGTATGGGTGTAGCTGCATTTCAACCCTCGCTTCCCTGAACCTGTTAGCGTCACTGTTGAAGCATACCTTCGGATTCTATATTCCAATAGTTTTCATCCTATTGAGTTATGCTGCAATAGAGACAGGCCTACCTCTACTTTGACAACCAGTGAATATACTAATATATGCATGCCTTGGATGCCTTTCAAGCACATGCAACCAGGATGCAATCTATAGTGAACAATCCACATTTTACTGTAAAATGACTGCAGTTGTGCTTCACCACCACGCTGCACCCTCTGAGCACGAACAATAGCAATGCAATTACTGCCAAGGTGCTCTGGGTATTCTGATAATATCACTGCGGTTTCATAAACCTACTGTATAGTAATTTACTTTACATTTGGGGCTAGGCTAAAGGGTGATGAATGGATAATAATTGAAAATGCAATGCACACATCTCTGTTGCATACATATATGGTGGGAATTTTGCTGTTTTTTCATTTAAAGGTTCTTTAGATTTTGAACTTCGATATAGCAGCAAACACCTATTTGTTATGTGAGGATATAAGTGGAGTAATGTCGTCCTGAGCAGAAAATGAATTCATGCTTCCTCTGTGTGTGTGTTGCAATCTGAGCTTCTGCATGTGCATGTTATGCTGCATTCTTATGCTCCTTGGATTGTTCCGAGTTGGGAAGTCATTCTTCCAACTTTGGTGTGTTCATGAGCTTTAAGTAAGGAAACGACACAGATGCCACGAAGAAGATTTGTTGTATTTTATTGGTCAGAGCGTTTGCACAACATGTTGATAACAGTTTAAAGCTTTATATTACAAAGAGATTTTTCTGGACTTGTCGTTGCACTAGTACATCCCCAGAAAATACTAAAATATTACTGCCCGAGTAATGCTAATAAATAAAATTATAACTAATCTACGTCACTCTACATCGACAGCAACTAACGGTTGCTATCTAATAACTTATTGCAAATTACATGCAATAACATACAATATGTGAATACATCAAGAGTTTATTATCATTTACAGAACATTAACTGCCATGTTTCTACTTGTAGACATTGTCAACACCTGTATCAAAATATTCTTTGACTTCCCGAGTTGTTGCTTTGAATTACGGGAGTGTTCACATAAAACATTCCAGTCGAGACTAATTTTTCCGATTATTCCGATACCACAGGAATGCAGGGTTAGAGCACTCGAGTCCCTTCCTTTAAACTGTCCCTCCCCACGCTTACAAAGAGACTTAAAGAGTGACCTCTCACAAAGCATTGTTGAAGTGACAAGCATGCAGCTGAAGGTGACTTCAAGCATATTTTATTGGATGTTTTAGGTAGATAGCATTAGCAGGATAGTGAGCCAGCTAATCACCTTGTTATATGGATTTAGGTCACCTCACAGATCAAAGAAATAGTTCCTTACCAAGCTGAATACATTACGTTAAAAATCAATATTCCAATAGCCAAGATATGCATCCCCTTGCTTGCCTAGTGGTCTTACCTCGTAACTTGACGTCATTCACAAAAGGGACATTTTATACCATCATCTTGTTGTGTGTTTTGGGGCTGCTTTCTCTGCGTTGTACAACACTTTGCTGAGAACATATGGAAGAGGTTCAGTGTGGCTACTGCGCCCTTTAGTTTTGGTCGGAGATGCTGGTGCTCTAGTGCGACATCTAGACGTTCTGAATTTCATATATACAGAACCTTTAAAAAAATTGCATGAGAACAGATGGATTCCCTGTTAAAAGGTTGTGGCGAGATGGTAGTCCCAGAACTGTGAAAGCCTTGTGAGCCATTTCAAAATATTCTTGTCTTTGTGGTAAATGATGTGACATTGCTGTAGTTAAAATCTGGTCAGCTTTAGGCACAAATAGCACTTGGTTAGGGTGAGGGAAAGATAATTGTTTGGGTTAAAATGTTAAAATGATCTCTTGAAATCTCATGGGAGTTTTCGTGATTGTGGGGTTACCATCTAGACACGACCCTGTTAGATGAAGGAGAGGTGGTATGAGATGAAGAAATGCAAGTTTAGTCTGTGACAGTGGTCAGTCATTACTTCTCAAACTCTAGTTGGGTAGTGATTAATGTTCCTTTATGAGTAAGTAATGCATGACCACAGTCAGTGTTGTTATGTAACTCAGTTAGTTCTCATTTGTTATGGGTTGTCAGCTTTTTGTTGGGTGATGTATTTATTAGTAAAGAGGTATAAATGATTACTGTCGCTGTTCCTTTTAACTAAGAATTTGCACACCGCTGTTCCTCACTTTGAATTTGGTAGTGTCTTTACATTTACATTGTATTCACCATCTGGATTGTTTATTCCTTCAGCGAGCTATGAAATGTGAAAACCATTAGTGAGTTGTTTTCACCCAGACTGCCTTTTTACTTTTTTTTTTTTTTGAGTGAAAACATGTTCAGTGTGGGTGTCCCTAGTGGAAATAAACCCCCTGAAGCCAATTTTTTTCCACTACTAGCATTGACTCAAATCTGATCCTTTTTTTTACCTCCATGACTCTCTGACTCATTGCTCTCTGAACAGGGAAAATCTGATTCCCTGTGGTTTTTCTAATTTTAGACAGCAATGCAAAGCACACAGGCTGAATAAATAGAATGTCTTGGAATCCTAGCATTTAGGCTTTTTACGGCTGCAATTATAAAAAATTGCAAAGCCTGAGCAGGGCCACAGGAGGGTTAAAGAGAGCCTTTGAAGGCATCATTTACTGTTTGACACCGAGTATAGAGTGGTTCGTGTGAGCGCAGCATGTCTTCATATTGATTAAGTCAAATTAAGCTGCATATTATACCACTGGCTGGGTTAAACCATGCCCTCACGTTCATTAGGAGTTACCCACTATTTAATAATTCATATGAGGAAATTAATTAGTGCCAGCAGGTTAATAACACATGTGCATGCGGTATGCATGCCATTACCGGTATCTCTTTAATTTATTCGATTCTGTGGACCTATGCTACAGAGAGTGATGGACATTTTGTGAAACAAAAACAAGGCTTTTGATCATTTTTATATAGATTTTTCAATTAAAATGTACTTACTGTAAGAGAGCAACAGTAATGTAGGGATTCTTTGGGCATCTGGCTGCACTTTCTCTGTAAATTATTTAGTGCACTGATTTAGTTTTCTACCTTTTTATGCAGTTCTAGCACATTTTATAGATCATGTGAGCACACAAATTATGTAATACTTCATAAAAGATATTTCTCTTTCAGAAGTAAGGCCACTTCATGGGGGCGTTCCTTTAAAAAACACAGAGTAGTTTTGAAAATGAAGTGAGTAGCGCTGAATACATGTTAAAAGGTTAAAGCATTCACCAAAAAAAAAAAAAATATTGATTTGAGTTTATGAGACCCATGCTGTCTTTTCTGTATTTTAAAAGCTTTCAAGGCTTTCATGAGATACTGATTTTATATGATGGCATAAATCTGCATCTGCTTGGTGAATGAAATAAATATTTAATTCTGACCTTGGGAACAAAAGTAGTCGCTACAGCAGTAATCACCATATCGAGCTGAACAAAGCCAGTCCCACGTGCTTCTTTTTGTCTTCATCTCCATCCTCTGTGTTTACACCACCTCCAGCACGATCATCACCACCATCACCACCATAATCACCATCATCATCCATCTTCATGAGTCGCAGTGTCTTCCTCCTCTTCGTCCTCATCGTTGTCATCGTAAGTTGGATACGTGAGGTGAGCCCATATATGCAAAGCAGTGTAAATTTATGCACATTTTCTTGCTAATTTTATTGTAATCTGCCAGAAATGGGGCATGTTTCTACGAACATGTAGAGAACCAAATACATTTAAACACGTGAAAGCACATGTAGTTCATATGAAAGCGTTCTGAAACTGTTCTTATGGTCACATTAATATAATTTCCTCATAATGTCCATTGTGCCTGAGAGAAATTTCTAACAAATTACTCCTAAGTGATGAAATGTAATATTTTAAAAGCGTCGCCTTTCTTGCTTATTATACTCTTACAGAATGTGTTCATGGCCAGCTTGAGGTTCAGAGAAATTAGCTTCTGCAATAATGAGATATACTGTAGTGGAGTGAGCCATTAGGATCCTTTTTTGTTTAACACCGTCAGCAGTAAAGGGAATAAGGGATAGTTGCGTTTGTAGCTGCATGTGTGTGTAGGTTTATGTCCCTGTGTGTGTGTGTGTGTGTAAGTGGATTTTTACTTACATGAATATGGATGTACCTTGTTGATTTAATCCAATTTGCAAGGGATTGCAGGGGAGGCACATCATTTGTCATTAATTTTCTCTTTAAAGGTATGATAAACAAGACTCATGCATAATTGATCCTAACAGTGGGGATGCCATGATGTGGGAATCACCTTCCTGTGTGCTCCCGTGTGTTTGCACATTGTAAGATGACTCTCCAAAAAGTCAGCAGGAAAAATCTCTTTTGATCGACTCATTATTTATACACTTGCTCACTTCTCTGCGGAGCATTTTTAGCTTTGATTTCATGTAAGTCTTTAAACTAAAGTGCTATATGGTCTACCTGTTTGTAATAACAACGTCTCCCTCTCTGTTTGCCTGTAGGATTTCTTAGTACAGGTGACCAGGCGGCAAAAGGGAACTACGGCTTGCTGGATCAGATCCAGGCTCTGCGCTGGGTGAAGGAGAACATCGCAGCTTTCGGAGGAGACCCAAGCAGGGTCACGGTGTTTGGATCCGGGGCTGGGGCCTCGTGCGTCAGCCTGCTCACTTTGTCTCACTACTCGGAGGGTAAGGAAGAATCATGGACACAAACTCTGCTTAACTTATGTGTTTTATTCAGTTTAAAAATTGCATTTAAGGACAGGTGGAGAGTTTTGTTACACTTTGAAATACACAGAGTATAGGTACATAGACAGTTGCGCACCTATGATGGTTGGTAGGTAGGTGGGTGCTGTGAAAGCTGTGACACTCATGGTTATGAAAGCTTTCTTGGTCTCCAGTGGACCAATTGAACTTTCATTTACTGGTATAAATGCCTGAATAAGCCTTTGAATTCTTTGAATAATCCTGCCCGCCTGTGAGTCATATAGCTAAGAGCTGTATTATTTTAAATCGTTAACCCTTCCCCACTTGAACCTGCTGTTCTAACCACGACCTGTCATCCTTCTGAATAATGCATGTCTGAGAGTTGAGTGTTTTCTTGCTGTAGGAACGCTATTTCTGCATCTGTTTATGCAGGCAAATGTATTGTGAAACCCTCCAAGTATGCAATCATATGGATGCATTCATGCATGCATGTGTGAGTGCATGCATAAATATGTGTGTACATGTGTATGCAAATGCTTTGCACGTGCATATTTGTATTCATGTGCATGTTTTCATGTGTATCTCAGACCTGTTCCACAGAGCCATCATCCAGAGCGGCAGCGCTTTAGCCAGTTGGGCTGTCAACTACCAGCCCAGCAAGTACGCCCGGCAGCTTGGTGAGAGGGTGGGCTGCGGCATCGACGACAGCACCCAACTGGTCGCTTGCCTCCAGGGCCGGAGTTACCGCGAGCTTGTGGAGCAGAACATAACACCAGCCAAATATCACACGGCTTTTGCCCCGGTGATTGATGGTGATGTTATACCTGATGACCCCCAGATTCTGATGGAGCAGGGAGAGTTTCTGAACTACGACGTGATGCTGGGGGTTAATCAGGGCGAGGGCGTAAAGTTTGTGGAGGGCATTGTGGACTCTGAGGACGGTGTCACGGCTGAGGACTTTGACTTTGCAGTGTCAGACTTTGTGGATAGTTTATATGGATACCCAGAAGGTCGAGACACGCTGAGAGAGAGCATCAGGTGAGTGAGTCTGTAAATGTCTGAATGTATTTAAGAAATAGTTTGACATTTTGGGAAATACACACATCTCTTTGTTTGTTAAATGTGATGCAACAGTCAGAGGATGATTAGCATAACTTAGCCTAAAGATTGGAAACAGCCAGCTTGACTCTGTCCAAAGATAACAAAAGCTACCTAAGCAGCTCCAAAGCCCAGACACACTAAACCAACATGAAAGAACTAGTTGCGACAAAGGCCTATGTTGCAGATGAACACACTGCAAGACTGCAGCCAACACGCAACAGGCACATGCATTCTGCTTCTTCACGAGAGGAAATGACTCTTCATACCAGCAGGTGGCGCATTAGTTATTCAAAAAAGAAAATTGGAAGACCAACAGGACGAATCCAAGATGCAAGTTAGATGCAAGTTAGCCAATTAGCTCACAACCCGCTGTTCAAAGAACTAAGGATATTTACCGGCTGCTAGCCAACAATAACACCAACAGGTAGGAACCATTTCTGCTAAAGAGCTTAATAGCTAAAAAAACCCCCAAAACTCTGGTATAACAAGTTGGCTTTGATGTTACATCCTCTTGACTTTAGCCGTTTGTTTACTTTCCTCACTTCTGTTTCTCTTCTCATGCACTGAGCTGAACTGCCAATCAGAGGGATTCCTCAAATCAACAGCCTCCACCGTCTCTGATACTGATACAACATGCTGAACTGGCCGAAAAAAAGCTGACAGGGGCTGACGAGGGCCCCTAGTGCGGTACACATCACAAAAACTAGTGTGACAGACGCTCACCGACAGTCCGACATTAACAGTCGGCTGACCGTCGACTTGGTGTGTCAGGGCTTTAAATCTCACTAATGAACATGTTATATCTTTTTCTTTTTTTTTATCGGTACAAAAACCACAGGGTGAAATGGTCAGTTTGAAGTTTTATGGGGTGCTGGACTTTTTCTTGGCCAGGGGTAGTGACATTCTCAGATACTGTCATCACCATGAGGTTGTCTGGCAACCAGCAGAGACTCGCCATAAATAGTCACTTTACTTCCTGCAAAACAACTTGTTTCTACATTTCTGTTTGGGTGTAGATTAATCATAGAAGACAGACAATAACTAGTGAGCTTTAATGGTGTTGGTAAGGGATTTTTTTTTTAAACTTTGGACAAAGCCAGGGTTGTTGTTTCCCCTGGTTTCCTGTCTTTATGCCAAGTTAAACTAACCTTCTTCAGGCGGTTGCTTTAAATTTAGTGAACAGACATGAGAGTTGTATCAGAGATTGGCGGTTTGATTCCTGGATCCTTATGTCAAGTATCTTTGGGCAAGATACTGAACCCTAGTTGCTCCCGGTAGCTGTACCATCGGTGTGTGAGTGCATGTAAATGTTTAAATGAGTGGCAGGTGGCACCTTGTATGGTAGCCTCAACCACCAGTTCATGAATGAGGGTATAAATGGGTGAATGTGACATATTGTGTAAAAGCACTTTGAGTGGTTGGAAGACTTGAAAGGTGCTATACAAATGCAAATCCATTTACCATTTACCATGTCAATGTTCTCATCCAACTGACAGCAATCTCTTAAAGTGACTAAGTGCTTTTCCAAAATGTCAAAGTGTTGTCTTAAATGGAATATGCACATGCAGACTTTTGACTATGAGGTGTGTTTGTTAATATGCATGCACAGCATAATGTGTTGTACCTTTATGATGTTTTTGCATGATTTAATAACATTCAAAGATTTGTCAATAGATTGACTGAAAGCTAATTTAAAATGTATACACTAAAGGTTTATGTACACGGACTGGGCGGACCGTGACAATGCAGAAACACGGCGGAAGACTCTGGTAGCGCTATTCACAGACCACCAATGGGTGGCGCCAGCGATCGCCACAGCTGACCTCCACGCTCAGTATGGATCCCCCACCTACTTCTACTCCTTTTACCACCACTGCCAGAGTGATGCCACGCCACCCTGGGCTGACTCCGCCCATGGTGACGAGGTGAGCTGATGTCACAGTATTGTGCTAAAATGGAGAGAGAGAACGTTAGTGACAGTTTTAATAGTTGTGTTTGTAGTCGTGGTGTGAAAAGTGATATTAGATGTCAAGGAGAGGAGTAAAAATAGGAATTTTTGGTGTGGGTACTTCAGACCGAGGCAAAAATGAAGGTGACTAATGTCTCAGAGATTTTAGAAATATTCATGCAATGAATCAGGAGCTCTTGATTTAGATTACCAGTGAAGTGCTGCTTCATATTGATTTGTTTAAAGTGCTTAAATAAGTGGAATCAAGCAATCCTCTACAGCATGAAATATCTGAAATGTTCAGGGGATGTGAAGGTCTGATTGTAAAGCTGCTGTATATTAAACCCTGTGATGATTAAAGTTTATCACAGGAATCTTTTCTGCTGTTCTTAGTAACAAGGTTTTTTGTGTAGGTGTACGCTTCCTTGTCTTGTGTCCACCACACTGAATGTGTGTAGGCATGCATTTGTAGTTGGTGTTTGTGGGGATGGATATCAGTCCAGAATATTTGTCAAACTGAGGATGGATTTACTGAATTTAGGTCCACTGCAGTTACACATTAAGTTGCATTTGTCTTTGCTTTGTCATGATTCACTTATGGTTAGGGTTACTGTCAAGAGAATGAATGTAATAAATGAAAGCTATCCTAAAATGTGTTTGTGTGTGTAGGTGCCCTACGTGTTCGGCGTGCCCATGGTGGGGCCCACTGATCTGTTCAACTGTAACTTCTCCAAAAACGACGTGATGCTGAGCGCTGTTGTCATGACTTACTGGACCAACTTTGCCAAGACTGGGTGAGCTGTTAAAATGTATACTGATGTGAGATGTTGATTTCAATCGGGAAAAATCCCACTGTGAGGTTTTGTTTTTTTTTAATTCCTTTTGCCTGACTGTACTATATAAAGCAAATCAAGAAAACAAGACAAAACAAAGCGCAGCATCATCATGATTCAGTCCTCTTTATTTCTGCTTTCTTAGACACAGAAATCCATTTCTAATTTCTGCTATCAATATCTAATCCCCACCCACATGGAGAAAATGTCTCACAGTAACGAATGAAAGCCAGGCCATTTAATCACATTTTAAAACGTGAAAGAAAATGCACAGCTGTCAGTAAGAGATCGTCCTTTTATCTTTGATGCTCTGCAGGGACGAGGTTTTGGCAGCGCTGAGTGTTGTTGCTGTAACTGTGGACAGCTCACTCTTGATTTTACAGGAACAAATCTCCTCCAAGCTTGAAAAAAGACAGCCAAGACTTAAGTCTGTGGTGTCTTTAAGACAAACGGCATAATGCCTCTCTCATAAGGTTTCTTTATGTTTAACTTGTTGGACTGATTGATAGTTAATATGAACATGGGGCATGGAATACAGGGTTCACAGAGAGGGCAAGGACAATCAAAGGCACAGAACAACAGGGAGAAGTTAACAGGTTTTGATTAGCATTTAGCAAATGTACTTCCGACAAATGATGATGAAATTGCAGGGGGAAATGCATTGGCAGCAATTTGTAAGAATTGTGTGCAGGAGACAGATCAGCCTAAATCCATTTCTCTGTCAAGTTTTTCCATCAAGATAAGTAACATTTTAATAGCATAGGAAAAAAAAATGTTTTTCAGAATGTTAGGTTTCATTTGGAATGGGAGCTTAAACTGAGTGAAGCTAAGATTTAATGATGCATTAGATGAAAAACACCGGAGTTTTAGAGCAACAAAAATAATGAGCTCACAGGCAAAAGATATGTTATTATAATGGCTTTTCCTTCAGAAGGTGTCTGACGTCTGACGTGGAGACAGTACTTTAGATACAATCATGAAAGCAGCACTGCAGACTAATTTTGGCAGAGGGTGCACACAGGTTCTCTGTCATGTCAGTATCTTGACAAGGCTTTTCTTCTTTGGCTGAGAAAGTTAAAGAACCCCTACTATTGAAAAAGTCCTTGAGGAAAGCCAAGGTAATGTCCTAAAAGAAGAATGAAAGATTGGCCACAGTTTGATTAATCTTCTCTCCCATCCTCTCCTCTCCTCCTGTCTCCTCTTTGCTCTTTCTGCATCCTTATTCAGTCATTTATGGTCAAAACTGGTGCAATGAGACAGGGAGCTTATTCAATACATTGAATCAAAATTAAAATTATCTGCCAGTGGCTAAAGAAGCTTGTAGAGATCCAATTTATTAAATTGAAAGTGAAATGATCTGCCGGTAGCAAAGACTACTACAGTTGTATAAAGAATCCACATTAAAACTTTAAAAACCCGACGTCCACGCTGATAAGAGCACCTTTTATCTCTCCACTGTGACATGATATACAAGATAAAAGTAATTGTTGAGGATGGACCCTCATTCTGCAGTGCTCGAAGTGAGTAATTGCCAGTAATTAATCCAATCGAGGCTCCCTCCACTGAGACCTCTTCAGATTTACAGAGACATCTACAGTCTAGACCTTGATCTAAATCACCACGGAGCCTTGCTATCTCACAACATGCAGAATTAGGACTGTGCGCTTACATGTTTTGACTCAGGCATTAGAAAAACTGTCTTCAACACGAGTGCATTAAGGCAATCAGATTGCATCAAGTTAGCAGCTTCCAGCCCATAGTTTGTGTTGTCATTACCACTACGGCAAGCTGTGGAGCAAAATCACCAAGGAGGGATGTTGTGATTTCAGCGTGCACTTCAATTATCAATGGGAAAGTTTCTCTGAAGAAAAGATTTCACCCGGCTGAGAGTGCTTCAGACGGTGATGGAACTCTGCGACAGCTCAATTTAACGGGGAGGATATGATGCTCCCTGATGTATATTTTGTAAGCCTCTGTGTGGGCGTATAAATCCTCAGCCTGTGTGAGCGTGTGTGTGCCGGTAGGTCTGTGCGCTACGTGCCTCTTTGTGCTGTTCATAAGGTGTTGATTGACAAGTGAGCACATAGCGTGTAACTGGCAAGTCTGTGAAGATGTGCTGTTCTTTCATTTACGCCATTTTCACTGCTGACACAAATAAGAAGGTAAACCGACAAATAAATGCCTGTCCGTATGTGTCAGAGAGGTGATTTTTCAGGATATTTTCACCGTTCAACACACACATTCATCTTTAATAAAGATATCTGACAGATTTTAGAGAGGCAAATATCCACACACAGTTCTGGCTGCAGGAGTTTGAACTGCACATTAACTGAAATGTTTTGTAAGAGGCATATAAAGTGGACAAAAATCAATGACTGCGACTGAATCACCTTTGGGCGATGTTTACAGGGAAATAAAAGTTGTTCTGCTTTGTGCAAATATTTTTTGCCACTGGTTTGTCTTGTGTTACTTTGATATTGATTTAGAAAGATGTGTGCCAGCGCTGGCGAAACTATTGGACAGCATGAGAGAAACTCACACACCCCAGAGGACGGTAGCCAGCTGAGAGAAACTCTTCAACAGCTCTGTTAGGAGTCTCTGACATTTGAAAAACTGAAAAGCATGAAATATTGGTATTTTTGGATGGTAGAACATTGAACCATTGCACTGAAATACTTTAAAATATGACCCTTGAATATATATATGTAGACGGAAACTTTGTTCTCTGTTGCATCATGGTTTCTGTAATCCTTTGTCGATCATGGAGTGTTCTTAGCTGTTAGCAGGACTCAACACTAACTTTTAAAAATGGATGCCAGGCTGGCAATCGGGCTTGCTGAAACTGAAAATATAATTGCTATTTTCAGTCACCTTATATTTAGAATAATGGAGATAATAAGCAGTTATACATCAGCTTAATAATGAAAATGTGACGTAAAAGAATGAAAGCTTTATTTGAGGATCCATTACACAAGTTAAGGATGTTAAGGGTTCCTCATTTCTCAGAATATAAGATGTGATGTTTTTTATAGTTAAGTTTTATAGGGAACTCCTGGTTGATAGCATTGATCATGCGAATGTTTATCAGGCCATCAATAGGTGTGCCAGCTCCTGCAGCCTCAACCTCATTATGTCATTGAGCTGCCTGCTCTTGTTGCATCGAGCTCCAGTGCTCGTCCAGCCCCGTGGTTCTGTGAAATGCATTCTCATCCCAACTCATTATATATCACCATTTTGTCAGTGGACTTTAATGTTGTGCTGGGTGTCCTCCTGCATCTGGTGTTGAAGCTCCAGGACGCCATGTCAGTTTATGCTTGTTACATGCATTGCATCTTTTCAAAATACACTTCTGTTTTCACAGGATATGTACAGTTTTTGCTCGGTAGAGGCATATGATCTTTTTCAGAATAAACTATATTTGGTAAAACACCTCAAAGTTAGGTTAATTGTTTGTGCAACAAAAACACGTGGTTAGGTTTAGAAGAAAACATCATAGGTTGGCAAAGCATTCGCACAGGAAGCAAACAGCTGGCTCCCAGGTGAAAGTCCAGGGTTTGTTGGACCCATCCACCTCTACTCCCGCCTGCCCTATAGGAACTTTCCAGCTCCTTATATTTATTGTTACTGATGGCATTTCAAACAGATGCTGCCCAGCATCATAACATACCGCTGCACTGACAAAACAGTGATATTTGATGAGTTTGTAATAAGAACGGACTGTTCTGTAGGATGTGCTCCCTTGAGCTACTGAACTAGATGTGTCACTTAGCGAGCTGTATGTTGTACATGCTTTGCAAAAGTGCGGGAATAGTTTGCCACCTAAGACTTTGCAAATTTCATTCTTGTTTTTCATTCAGGTTCACCTGGTTCTTTGTCAGTTAAATCAATGTGCAAATTTGTTTGTGATGTTGACGGGTTAGTTAAACTTTTCACAGCTTAATTTGCTTCGCCACTGTATCTAAAACAGATGCCTGTGTGCACATAAGTAAATGCACCAAGGCATGAGCAGCATTGTTCAGTGTCGGTTCTTACTGTAACAACAATATTTAGATATCACTAATGCAACAGATATTCAAAATGAATTTATACTGGAGTGCATGTTTTGCTGGTGGCTGTCCCTGTTTTTATATATGTTAAAAAGTGTTTGCAACTACCAAAGGTCTAGAATTGTTGCCAATTTGTCCAAATGGTTTCCAATGGCAACCTGGCAACAGTTACAATCAAGCCTTGTGTTACACTGCTATTTTGGTGAGTTGATTTTGATTTTTACATGGTGTTTTTATTTGTAAAGATGCTCAGAGCTGCTGACAGATACTTGACTCAGAGTCCTTTTTTAGTTTTAAATACCCACTCCTACCAAAACTGTGACTTGCAATACTGCACCTGCCCCACCACCCGCACTTATGACCAATTAGTTCCGCGACCCACCTTGCCAACACAAGATCCACAGCCTGACCTGAAACCACAAATCCTATAATAACCATGCAGGTTTCAAATAATTCGATTAGGCAGTATGTTTAAAGTGTCATTTGGGACATTTCATATGTGTAACACTTAGATAATGTATTTAAAAAAGAGGGTTATACAGAAACATAATTAATTCATTCTATGTAAATGAATATTTTTTGCTTATTCTCATAATAGGGAGCAGTACATCTCCACAGTTAACGTGCCTGTTAGTAACACATTTGATTTATTTATCATCGAACACCCCCGATCTGATCCGCATGTTCTTTATTCACCCAGATCCAAACTAAATAAATTTGAGACAAAATACCACCCACGAATCACCTTTTTTGCAGGGCACCAGCCTGACGCCTGTGACAGTTAACTGTGTCTGTCATATTTCTGTATTCTTTTTTTCTGTGTATCTTTTTGTGTATGATTACAGCTATTTGTAGAACAACAGGTTCAGAGGGGATGAAAATCAATGTCTTCCTTTACACAAATGATTAATCCCTCCATTTTGTTATCTATAACCAAAAAACAAACAATTAATTAAATAACTCACTGTGTTTCACTCTTCCCAGTGACCCAAACCAGCCAGTTCCTCAAGATACCAAGTTCATCCACACTAAACCAAACCGTTTTGAAGAAGTGGCTTGGTCTAAGTACACCCCTAAAGAGCAGCTGTACCTCCACATCGGCCTGAAGCCCCGAGTCAGAGACCACTACCGTGCCACCAAAATCTCCTTCTGGCTCCAGCTGGTTCCTCACTTGCATCATGTCAACGAGCTCCTCCAGTCGGTGTCCTCCTTCACCCATAGTCCCTCTCCACAGGATGACACTCCTTATTCTTACACCAAGCGTCTAGCCAAAGGTTGGCCGCCTAGCAGCACACGCCATCCAGGTCAACAAGGAGGTACTCCACAGCCCCCGGAGCCTGCTTTGGGCCAAGGTGGAGGGGAGGAGGGGGTCCGTGTTCCCAATGAGGACTACTCAACTGAACTCTCAGTGACCATTGCGGTGGGAGCGTCACTTTTGTTTCTTAACATCCTCGCATTCGCGGCTTTGCTGTACAAGAAAGACAAGAGGCGTCTGGAGCACCGTCGGCCACGTCCGCTTCCTCCCCCGAGACGAGACATCACACCGGCAGATGTCGCCGCCCACCTGCAGGGGGAGGGACTGATGTCATTACAGGTGAGTCATGTGTTTTTGTATTTTTTATTGTGCTCATATGTGCATTGTTTTATAACTTAAGTGTCTGTGTGCGTCTGTAGCATCATTTTAGATTATTTTTAAAATAATCATGTTTATTGTCAATAATCACACATATTATTGTGCATTTAAGTAACATCAAGCTAGCTGAGGTTGTGTATGTGTGACTGAGTGAACGCCTTGCCAGTGGAGAAGCTGCCAGTAGAGCACTTCTGCAAAACACAGCCTGTCATCGGCAGGCATTATCCGTGTGAGAATGAGTGTGTGTGTGTGTGTGTGTGTGTGTGTGTGTGTGTGTGTGTGTATCTGTGAGTTTGTTGTGATGCAAGTGCATGTGTGGGCTGTGTCCAATTGCCTGAATTGCTTCCAATTGCCTCCAATTCATCCACTGACTATTTGGCCTCGTTTGAGCTCAGCTAGTGTCTTTGAAATCTCACACAGCGAGTGTGCTAAATGTCAGACCTCTTATAAAGCTGACAAATATTGTTAATTGGCAATTGAACTACAGTAATGTAGGTCAACATTGCAGCTGCTTTTGTAATTGTGTTTTATTTTTTTTCAAATGTCGTGTGGCTTTTTTGGGTACTACCAGAAGATCTGGTGTGAAAAGAACAATCAAGTATAGTCTTTTTGCATTAGCATACATTATTCTACTCTTTATAGATGATTTCAGTAATTTCAGTGCATTGTGGTGTTGATTTTAAGAAATGAAGGCATACAGAGAGGCGTGTCTGCTTGACTGTCTGAGCCAATGACACCAACATACAGCTAGAGCGGTTGCCAATTTTTGCCCTTTAGATTTTTACATGATTTTCACATGCAAGGTGGTTCAAAATAATTATCCATATTATTGGATATGGATTTTAAGTTGATTTCATATTGTGAATATATGATAATTTCATGTGAATTCTACAAATGAGCTACAAGTTGTTTTACACATTAAGTGTTTTAAAATACATGACAGAGGAACACGGATTATTTCACTGAACCGTTGTTTTACTATTTTTCCATATTTCATACAAGTAGGTGATCGTGCGGTCACTATTTTAGTCCCAGCTCTCTGGAATCATTTTCCCCAATCTAAAACTCATCTTCATAGGCAAGCCTGTTCATAGAGCTCCATCCCCTTCTTATGTTTTGGATTGGTCTGTCTCTCATTGTGCTGTGTTATATATTGTAATTTATTCTAAGCTTGTGTATTCATTCGTTTACATAGATTTTGTGCTTGTGAAGAACATTGTAATTAGGGGTGGGAATCACCAGACGATCCACCATATGATATTATCACGATACTTAGGTCACGATACAATCTAATTGCAATTTTAAATATGCTGCAATATGATGAGTATTGCAATAGAATATATTGCTATTTAGTTCCTCTTTTCAGCTGTATGTCCCCACCTTGTAGACATCTATTTTATCTAATAGGATAAAGTTTTCTTTCCATTCATTTTCCTTTCAGCCATTTTTTGCAGCAGCAAAACATATCCAGTGAACTGAAAAGGCAATTGATTTTATTATTCAAGCAGACGGCCTTAATTTGTATTTGTAATATTAGTAATTTATATAATTAAAAAATCAATACTTGGCACTGTGTGATGATACAATACTGCCACACAAAAATATCATGATATGCTGCATCAATTTTTTCTCCCACCCCTTATTGTAATTGTGTGTGTGATTGTGTTTTAAAGCTTTACTTACTTACTTACATACATAATAATATTATTGTTGCCATGAAACGATATATATTGATATTAGTCTTAATAAAATTGTGACATTGATTTCTGCCATATAGATTAGCCACAATAACATGGGATCCGATTTGAGTTTAGATGATTAGTTCATTAATTAAAAATTAATCAGCAACTATTTTTAAAAGCTGATTGGTAAAGTCATTTAACAAGCAAAAATAACAAAACACAATCAATTCAAGCGTCTCAACTGTGAAGATTTGCTGCTTTTCTCTGTTTTGTATCACTTTAAATTGAACATCTTTGGTGTTTGGACTAGAGCTGCACACCATGAGGAAAATATGTGATAATGTTGCTAAACATAATGATAACGATATTATTTGCTATAAATAAACAGATATTATATATATTATATAAGCATACTCAGTTTTTTTGCTGCTTTCAGTATACTGCTCAATAAAAGCAATCACTTGTTGAATTAAAAGAAATTAAAGAAAATTATTATAATTATTTTCTTCTTGAACAAATTGAACACTGAACTGAACACAAAAGGCACCAATAAAAAAAAGAATGATAACATTTCAAAGTGTAGTTTTCGTGATATATTCATCGAACAAGTTGACATTGGGATGATGATTAAAAAACGATATGTTGTGCAGCTCTAGTTTTGAATGTTGGTTGAAAAAAAAAGCAATTTGAATATGTCACTTTGGGCTTTAGAAAATTGTGATGGGCATTTTTACTATTAAGATAAATTGATTTTAGAAAATATAAAATAATTGTAGAAAATAATTGTGGATGAATTGACAATTAAGCTCCTTAGTGTCAGCCATAGATTTGATTATTCAATTTCTTTGTGTCCCCATTGCTTCACCTCCTTATCGTCTTCTTATCTTCTCATTTACTCATCCACCATCCACCCTTTCAGGTGAAGCAGCTGGAGTGTGATGCTGCATCAGCAGACGAGAGAAACAACACTCACCACCATCACACTCTGGATACACTGGACGCCCTGGACGGCTTGGATACCCAGGACATCTACAGCACGCTGGACACGGTGCGCCTGACCTGCCCACCCGATTACACCCTCACCTTGCGCCGCTCGCCTGACGACGTCCCCCTCATGACGTCTCTGACCCCAGGATCACTGCCCGTGACTCCTGGGTCACACCCTGTCACCCCGGCGACGCCGATGACCCCCATGACGCCTGGATCAGTGGTGGGGATGAGGATGGGGCATCCGCACCAGGCATACACACACCATAGCCCATATAGTAATACACACTTGCCACACACACACATCTCCACGCACACACACTCCACCACGCGTGTATAACCGCAGCAAGATACTTGCGCACACAAGGACATAATTACAACACACACACGCATCCTAACACACACACAAACACACACACACACACACACACACACACACACACACATAAAACAAGAGACTTAAATACCTCTACTAATTACCCTGCAGGATTGTTACAGATGGAGTGACAGAGAGACATTTTCAGTAACAGGATGAAAAGACAGACAGCTGTGTGTTGCATGTCGGGGAACTGAAGACAAACTGGATCCCGGGAGATGCAGTTCTATGCATCATTCGCTCTTAACCTTGAACGAGACGAGCCAAGACATCCATCAAATGTCTCAAAAACCTGCTTTGGATATTAAATCTTCTGCTTTTTCTACACCTGAGGAGGAAGAGGAGGAGCGCTGTGGCAAAAGGGTCAGTTATGGATCAGTTTACATCTCCTACTGTACCTGTGCTGCACAGCGAAGCAGTGCTGAGACTGAGCAGAGCAGATGCAGACACAGAACTGAGCTAAGAAGTACCACACACACACAGACTGCTGAAGTCAACTTGAACAACCTGTGAAATGTGAATGTAGCATTTTTTCCATTAAAAGATCAAAGGCCCTATCTGCCAAGAATCAAACTAAGCTGAGGAGGAAAAAAAAAACAAATTTCAGCAAGAGATGGATGTAAAGACAGACAGAGAGGAAGAGGGGATTACAAAAAACAACATTAGCTGAAGGAAAAGTTCGTCAGATGGTGGGAAAGAGATTAAGATTTTATTGAGAGGGATTTAGCTGCTGTGAGAGCGAGAAAGACTAAGTGAGATAGAGTGATATGGAAAACACAGGAACGGAAAGTGTGCCAAGAGACAGAAATTAGCTTCAGAAGATGAAAGGGCCTCTGAAGTGTTGTCAGACTTACTGAAGAATCACTCTTACCAGCTATGTGTTAAACTCTTGTAAATAGAATGGGAAGATACAGATGATATATTATGATTTATAGCATTTACCTGCTCTTGCATTAAAACACGACTTATTTAACCACATTATTGCTTTCATTTCAGATATTACTATATTATTGTATAGGTGTCCTAAAGCAAGGCTGGTTGTCTTTCTATCTCATCCACTGTAGTATGTACACAGTACCATTATTTAAAGGCTATATTTGCTATGCACAGTCATTTCAATGATTCTCAACTGTGTAAACATCTCGATACTTGTTTAGTAGTTGAAGTATAGGACATTTTCACACCATTCTGTCTATTTGTTTGACCATCGAGTGACGAGCTAGTACTGTGTAGATAATGCAATATTGGTTTGATGATTGAGCACCAGCCAAAAACCATGACCCTTAACCCTTTGTACCTAACCTCCCTTCCCATTCTCCTTTCCCCGCTTGATCCTAAAATGTCTCCTAAAGGCCTTACCCTTAATATCTAATTAACCCAACCTTATTTATTGTCCCCGCAGATGGTGGTGATGATTCAGGGGGTCCCAAGTCAGCTTGTCCCAAAACCCCAAAATATCAAGAATGCTTTGTCTTGTGTTAATTTGACCGTTGTGAGGCCCACACACATCAAACCGGCATCAAAGAACTAGTGGCGACAAAGGCTGTTGCTTTGCCCCATGTCACCTGCTTTGTAGCTAAAAAGTTGCACTTGAACACACCGCAAAGACTTAAGCCAATGGCCAAATAGCACGTGCATGAGAGGAAATTACTCTCCATACCAGCAGGTGGCGATAGTCTGTATTAAACATTCAAAAAAGGAAACCAGACGACCAACAGGGCGGGATCAAGACGCTGGTTAGTGAGTTAGCCCAACCCGACCCAACCCAATGTTGAGAGAGCAAAGTATATTTACTGTGAGCTAACAATAAGACAAACAATTACAAACCGTTTCTGCAAAGAGCTCAATGGCTAAAAAAAGTCGTTTGTTCGATCTTACGCCCTCTTGACTTTAGCCGTTTGTGTGCTTCCCCCGACTTCATTTTTCTCTTTCAATGTCGTTTCAACATGCTGAACCAGTGCCACAGTGCGGGACACACAGCCAAAACTAGGGCGACAGATGCTCACCGACAACCCGACATCGACCCAATGCTGGCTTGGTGTGTTAGGGCCCTTACACCTTACCAGGGGCCGCATATTTCTAGAAGAGCCCCTGCTTGAACTACCTAATGCTGACTGAAACCTTGTTCAATTAATCATCATTAAAGCTTAAAATCTCTCCTAAGTGTCACCCATAGTCTGCAGAGAAACGTGGATCTGCCACCCACATTCTAAAGCCTGGAGTTTGGTTTACTACCTGCCACCGTGTTGTCAATTGTTCGGAGCCAATTTGATTAATTAGGTGGAGCCTGGGTGGAGCTGAGGAGGGATGATCACTGCGGCTTTGTGTGATAATTTGACTTGACACTGAAGGCAAACACGCCTCCGAACATACTGCTTTTTAAGCCTCAATATCCTCTTAATGGAGCCATCTCTTCTCAAATTGCCACCAAGACATGCTTTAGAAGAAGTTAATTATTAAGCAGCCCCACCAACATGTAAAAATAATGATTGATTTTATTTTATAGAGAAGTCGGAGGTTTTCCTGCTGACTTCACAGCGAGTGCTTGAGGGTGGTGGTAGTTACTGCTATGTGTCATCATAGTAAGATTCGCAGTATTCATAAAATCAATTTCATATTGACAATTCATGTGGCAGGGATGTGGTACTGTCATGGCTGCCATTAAAAAATGACAAAATGGTGAAACTCTGTCGATCCGGTCGCTAATTTGAAGATAAAAACCTTATATGTCAGCTAAACAAACCCCAAACTCCCAAACCTTGATCCTAACCAGTAATTTAACCAAAGGCCCTAATCCTGATATTGTAACTTTCCTGTTTTATCCTCTTTTCCTGTTCCTTCCCCTATCCTCTCCCATCCACCCCCTCCCAGCCTCATCTGTGCGACTACATGCAGCTTTGTCACAGTGAGGCCTATTTAACCTCCTCTCATCCTAAGTAACTTCTTCATGAGAGATTTTAGTTAATTGTCAACAGAATACGTGAAAAATGAAAGCCGAAAAATTTGTGGATGACAAGCAAAGAACTTTTACAAAACGATATAAAAATAACATTTAATGGATGTTTGATTGACTGAATAATTTTTTTTCATATGGGTTTATTGACTCAGCGGATGGCTGGATTGTGTCAAGCATAAAACATTTCTGCTGCATTTTTGAAAATAAAAATATCAGTATTTTACAATTTATGAGCATTTTAAATCTCTTGTATGTCTTGCTTAAGAAAATTTATGGTAGTGTTCACAGAAATTTAGAGGGGATGTAGGGGCCTTTGATAATTGCATCCTTTGTCTATATAAAGTGATTCCTTACTACAGAATTTGCCAAATGATGCACAGTAAACATGAAATTATCAGTTATGTTGTCAGCAGGTAATGATCTCCTTTGTTCTTTCATTTGTTTAAAGTGGTCGTTACATTTCTAACTAAAGTGGTGGAATTTACGCAGATCCTCAAAGAAATAGTTTGACATTATGAGAGCTATATTTATTTGAGGATTTATTGAGGATTATTTCTTGCTGAGTGAGTGTCTGTACACTAAATCTGAAGCTACACTATACAGACTGTTTAAAACTTGACAACATAAACAATCTAAGTCCAAGTATATTTCCTGTTGTAATGTTTCTTAATGCAGTAGCTGACAGGAAGTAAACAGGGACCAGAGTTGTTGCCCTAGCAACAAGGAAACGGCCTCTAGTCCGAATAACAATGTTTATTAACAATAACTTCCGGGTAGGAAACCACTGCATCACGTACATAAAATGAAATGCCGCTGAGCAAACACTGCCTCAATTGGTTCGTTTTTTAGCCACCTAAAAAATGCCCACCTAAAATTCACAGTATCAGTGAAAGTGTATGCTATATTTTGAATATTTTTACCACTTTATCTTGCCGTGCCATGCTGCCATGCTTAGCAGTACATTGCAGCTTCCGTTCCTTTAGATTTAGTGTATCAAACACGCTAGCAAAGCACAACAGTACATGAAATGAGCATAGAAACATTAGATAGGTTGGACTATTGCGTATAACTATGTATCTTTAAACATTACAGTTAAGGCTGAAAATGGCAACAGAAATAAACAAATTTGCTGATTTTACATATCTCTGCGATTTCAAAAAATTGTCAGTTGCCTACACGGAAGTGTTAGCGCTGGTTAGCGGTTCGGTCTATAGCCAGGAGACCGTTTGCTTAGCTGAGCATGAAGACTGGAAGCAGAGCTAGCTTGGCTTTCTCTAAAGGCAATAAAATCCACCTATCAACAACTTTAAAACTCACCAATAACTTGTTTATGCAAAAAGAAAATGTGTTTTATGGGTAGTTATGTGCTGCACTATTTCCCTTTCTAGACTTTCTAGAGTCTCCACTCACTGTGATAACAAGATTCCAGGAGGTCGCTGCGCTCAACCAAGAAATACTTTCAGGCCATATTCCCACAATTTGTCATTTTTACATTTGGCTTTGTGTATTTTGATATATAATGTTAATTAGTTCACCTTTTGAGGTACTAGTAGGCAGTTTTTTAGATTTTAACCAAGCACCCAGGAACGGCACTGGGCTTTGACGCCAATTTTATGTAGTGGCCAAACTGTGAAATTACAACCTCTGGTTCCGTCACGTGATACCATTGGATACCATTTCTCATAGACTTACACTGTGAAAGACACGTCTGTAAATTAGTGAATGCATTTATTTGATAACCGCCGCAAAATGACTCATTTCAGCAGACTTAATCCATTCAGTCCCATAACATTTCAAGTCTAGAGGAGCTGCGCAATTAAATCATTTTATCCCATTTAAGTTAGCGGAGAGCTAAACCAGAGGTTAGCTGCTCAGCTGGTGAAAGTCTTTGGTGCGCCTGCTTTATTGCCCCATCAATGTGGAAGCATAGCATAAGATCCGGGTATTTTACAGATGGAAGTTGAACTTTGTTCGCTTAATGCGCCACTGAACAACTGTCAAAGAAATACATAGGGCCCTGCCTTCAACTCTGTATCCAGTTCTTTATACATCCATTATTTTAACAGAGCCAAGCTAACTTCTTTATGCTAGGCTAAAGTTATCAGCAGCTCTCTGTAACTTCATATTTAGCGTACAGACATGTGAGTGGTATCAATTTTTTCATCTGTCTGTTCACAAGACAGTGAATAACCTTATTCCCAAAATAACACACAATGTTTTAAGATTTTGAAGCAATAGAAAAATAATTCTTTATGGATTATCTTTAGCTTTGGTCTATAGTGCATATCTCGTACAATTACTTAAGTCCTTACTGCAGCAAAATAGAGAGATATCACTGTAAATCACCGTGGACCAGCAGCCCCTGCCAGCTGGCCAAGGAGACCCTGTAAGATGTGAGAGAACCAGATTCATGGCTGACTTCCAGACCAGATTGATGTCTCCTACAGTGTGTCCCCGCTCTAATCCCATTAACTAGATATAACTGCAGTTAATTTGATGTATTGCCCGCAACACATTAGAAAGCATGAGTTCAAGTCATGACCAGGTGTTTTTTTGTTTGATGTCAACATGTGCAGAAAGGAAACTGTGAAGCTAATGCAAATTGCTCAGAACTAAAAAAAAAAAAAAAAAAATCACTCTAACTTTGCCATTTCAATTTGACATTTCCAAAACCACTGCTTGCATGGTGGACTACTTTTAAGTGAATCAAAAGACACTTGGACACAGAAACACATTTTTCCCACAGTTTAACTGAACATCTTACATTTTGTATCTTGGCTTGGCAACTTGACTGAGGTTATTTCAGCAGGTTTAACGTTTAAACAATAGAGGTGGAGAAGTGTATCTGCTAAATGCATCCCAGAGATGATGTATGTAGCCTGAGATGTGTCCAGATGGTGGGTATTGGAACATTTTCACAGGTACCTGACTAATATTTAAAAACTGAATGTGAAGCATCTGGAGACAATTTCAAGGCAATATTTGGCAGCACCTGATCGCTGCTAAATCTCAAACATTTATTGTTTGAGTGTTAGCTAATCTAATAACTGTCAGATATAAATTTCACACTAAAGTGTTTAAATGGTGTGTTTTCTATCCAGATCTGACCATATCTCGTGCGACATGCTGTACACACACTCGGTGAGGCCCTGCTTAGTTTTTGTGAAGAATGACCATTGTGACAAGTTGCCTGCCTCCCACTGTAGCCTACATGTCACTGAGTGAAGATGAAATTAGCTTGATGGAGAAACAGAGCAGGGAGTCACGAATGAATGAATGGGGTGTTTTACCCACTTGGCTTAGCAAAGACTGAACATAGGCATTGTTTAAACAAGACTAAAAGTCTACAGCCATGGAGGCAGCCCTGGAGCCAGGCTGCTAGTGCTGCTGAAAAACAAAATTACTAGGCTGCACATACAGTATTATGATTCCAGTACAGAGCAGAATCAAATGCTGTGCGACTTTGGTCACACATACAAGACACTTCTGGCTTCTGATTTGAGCAAATTATCTCTGCTTGTGTTGCATCCCACAGTCAGAAAGACCGTGACAATGTTAACTCCTCCTGCTTTTTTCTTGTTTCGGGGGGAATCGAGGGAACCAGTAGGGAGGGCGGGAGGAAGATAAAGCTGAAGAGAAGAAGTATCTGAGCGGGGAAATATTGAAAGAGGAGTAGAAGTGGAGGATGCCTGATGAATGATAATGGGACATGGAGAAGGGGGGGAGTGAATGAGATAATGTAAAGGAGAAGAAACTAAAAAGGATGCATGGAAGCAGGAGAGGAGAGGAGAGGAGGGTAACAGATAAGGGGAACTCATTAAGGAATGGAACACAGCCTGCCTGGTTGTTTACTGGCTGGCAAACTCATTGTACTTAATCACTCCTGCCAAGATGCACACACACCGTCTGCGTACACTCACACAGTTTTGCATGTCTGCCGATACTGATACACACTGTGCACATGTTCATGCCTGCCTGCCTCACAATGCATGTATTCACACACACGCACACACACACACACACAACTGCATGCCTCATAGCAACTTGAATCACTGAATCATTTTCTGCACGGCCTTCATCACTCTCACTATTACACTCTCCTCTTATCTCTTCACGGTGCCTTTCGACTCCCTCATCCTCCTCTCCACTGTTTTTTGTCTTTATATTTCTTTCTTCCTCTCACTCCCGTGGTGTTCTTACTATAACCCCCTCTAGTCTGGATGGGTTCCCTCTTATCTAACAACCTTGAGATGATCTTCAAAGCGTCATTGCAGCTGAGCATGTGAGGTCACAGCGCAGAGTCTCCACTCTCTCTTCTCCTCCTTTCTCATCTGCCTGCGCCTCTCTCGTTCCACTCCTCTCCACTGCACTTCACGACTCTTATTTTTTTGGCTCTCCTTCTTCCATCTAATATGCCCTCCTCCTCCGCCTCCTTGTCCTCCTACTCCCCCTCCTCCTCCACACTTTCTCTCTCTCTCTCTCTCTCTCTCTCTCTCTCTCTCTCTCCCTCTGTGTCCTTTCACATTTTTTTTTTCATCTCACACCCCATTTCTCTCCTTTTCTCCCAACATCCATCTCTACCTCATCTGGTCTCATCTCCGCTCATCTGATCTTCGCTCCATCTCTGCTTTGTGCCTCTCCTCTCCTCTCCTCTCCTCTCCTCTCTTCGCCCAACTCATTTACTTCCCTCCTTTGCTCTTCTTTGCCTTTTCCTCATCTAAAAAGCTGTGAAAAGAGATGATACAAGGTTCCTTTGCCTTTGTGTGCGCGCATGCCTTCCTTGTGCACGTGTCTGGGTTTTTGAGTGTGGGTGTGTTGTTGTGGGGATGTTACACGCCTAACTGTCTTTCAAGCAGAGCCCCGCAGTGTTTTCACTCTC